CAAAGTTGCATGCATGCAGCAGCAGCAGCAGCAAGGAAAACTTTTCACGGATATGTTTGTGTGTAAATAAAAATAAAATATATTTTTTTATTTAATTAATTAAATAAAAGGAGAAAAAAGAGTAAAGAGGAGCAAAAACAGCAGCAGCAGCAGCAACAACAACAACAACAGCAGCAGCAGCAGCACGAGGAGCAGGAACAGCAACAACAGCAGCAGCAGCAACAGCAGCAAATAAGAGCTGTCTATTCACACTTTTTCTTTTTATAAAGAAAAAAGACAATAATAAATTGTTTATTAACAACATAAACCCTAAACCCTAAACCCTAAACCCTAGGAAGGAGGGAGAGATAAGAAAACAACAAATCCCTCCATATCTATAAACCCTCCTATAAACCCTTTGTCTCCTCCTTATTAGGGTTTAGGGTTTAGGGTTTAGGGTTTAGGGTTTATATATTCTTTATATATAAGATTAATAGGTTTCCTAGGGTTTATAGGATTCCTAGGGTTTAGGGTTTCTAGGGTTTAGGGTTTAGGGTTTAGGGTTTATAGGGATGGATATACAAGAAGGGTTTGTAAGTGGCTTTCCTCCTCCCCCTTTTTATTGGGAAGAATGCATGCACAGTGAATGCATGCAGCAGCAGCAGCAGCAAATATTATTATTTCAGCAGCAATTGCAGCAGCAGGAACAGCAGGAGCAGCAGCAGGAGCAGCAGCAGCAGCAGCAGCAACAGCAGCAGCAGCAGGAATCAGACAACAACACTCATCACCATCACCATCATCACCACCACCATCACCACCATAAACAGCAGCAGCAACAGCAGCAGCAGCAGCAGCAGCAGCAGCAGCAGCAGCAGCAGCTGGAACAGCTGCTGCTGCTGAATCCTCATTATAATCAGAGTTGTCGTCCTCCTCCTCGTTACATAGACGAATCAATTAACAGCAGCAGCAGCAGCAGCAGCAGCAGCAGCAGCAGCAGCAGCAGCAATAATAATAATATAAGAAAAGAGGATATAAAATTAGATAAGGATAGCTGCCTATACACCTCAATAAATAAGGAAGAATTTATACGTATATTTAATTTATTTATTAATGCATGCATGCAATTATTAAATAATATAAATAAAAATAAAGAATTTATTTATATAATAAAAAAATTAATTAAATATTATTTTAATTTGCTGCAGTTGCTGCTGCTGCTGCGGCAGCAGCAAGCGCAGCAGCAAATTATTCATAGACTGCAGCAGCAGCTAAGAAAAAGGAAGCAAGCAGCAGACACAATAAAAAAAATACTTGCTGAATCTCTTGTAGATATGCAGCAGGCCCTGCAGCTTGCTGCTGCTGCTAATAATAATAATAATAATAATAATAGCAGCAGCAGCAGCAGCAACAGCAGCAGCAGCAACAGCAGCAGCAGCAGCAGTAATAGCAGTTAGTTGTATAATAATAACTTTTTTATTTCTTTTTTTCTTATTAATTCTTTTTTATAAATAATATAAGCAGCAGCAGCAGCAGCAGCAATAGCAGCAGCAACAGCAGCAGCAGCAGCAGCAGCAGCAGCAGCAGCAGTAGCAGCAGCAGCAGCAGCACAAAGTATCCCAGTGATTTACCTCAATACAGTTAATACGCACACACACCCAACAAAAATCCCTACTAGCTAACTAGCTAGCTAGCTATCTAGCTAGCTAGCTATCTAGCTAGCTAGCTGGGCAGCTAGGTAGCTAGCTAGCTAGTTAGTTAGTTAGCTAGCTAGCTAGCTAGGTAGCTAGCTGGATAGTTAGGTAATAAGCTAGCTAGATAGCTAGCTAGCTAACTAGCTAGCTAGCTACATTAAGGGAATAGGTCAGCTACCTGGTTAGCTAGCTAGCTAGCTAGCCAGCTACCTAGGTAGGTAACAGACTAGCTAGCTAGCTAGCTAGCTAGTTATCTAGCTAGCTAGCAAGAGAATAAGCTAGCTAGCTAGCTAGCTAACTAGACAACAGAATAAATAGTTGGCTAGCTAGCTAGGCAACAAGCTAACAAGCTAGCTAGCTAGCTAGCTAGGCAAGTAGCTAGCTAGCTAGCTACCTAGCTAGCTACCTACCTAGCTAGCTAGCTAGCTAGTTGCTGTTGCTGCGGCGTTGTTACATGACCCCGCATCTTTTCTTCTTCTGCAGCAAAAAAAAACACACAAACAGCAGAACGTGCTGCTGCTGCTGCTGTTGCTGCTGCTGCTGTTGCTGCTTCTGCTACGGCTAGTACTAACTGTGAAGCAGCAGCAGCAGCAGCAGCTGCTGCTGCTGCTGCTGCAGTGCAGCAACAACAGGCAGGCTGCTCACCGTTTTCTTTGGGTGCGTTGCAGCATTGCCGCTGCCTTGGTGGCGGCGGTGCTGCTGCTGCTGCTGCTGCTGCTGCTGCATTAGCTGCATTTGCTGCTGCTGTATTCTTGCTCTATGCTGCTGCTCCAACATCAGCTGCTGCTGCTGCTGCTGCTGCTGCTCAAGTGTCTCCCCATCTCCCATTG